AGTGTGGACCCAACACAGGACTCAAACCCACAAACTGTGATATCATCACCTGAGCCGAAATTAAGAGTCAGACTTAACCAACTGAGCCAGCCAAAAGCAGACTTTAAAACAAAGACTGTAACAAAACAAAGAGGAGCACTACATAATGATACCCTGCAAGAAGACATAACATTATATATATATACATATATATAACCGATACAAGAGTACTAAAATACATAAAGCAAATTATTAACAGACCTATAGGAAGAAAGTGTCCACTCTCACCACTTTTATTCAACATAGTATTCGAAGTCCTAGCCACAGCCATTAGACAAGAAATAAAAGGTCTCCAAATCAGTAAAGGAGTAAAGCAGCCACTATTTGCAGATGACAGGATACTATATACAAAAAACTCTAAAGATTCCACCAAAAACCTGCTAGAATAAATGAATTCAGTAAGGTTGGAGGATACAAAATTGATACCAAATATTTCTTGCTTTTTTATACAGTAATAACTATCATAGACAGAAATCAAGAAAACAATCCCATTTAAAATCCCATAAGAAGTATAAAATATCTATGAATAAATTTAACCAAGTAGGTGAAAGACCTATAAACTGAAAAACTGTAAGACACTGAGGAAAGAAACTGAAGACACAAATGAATCAAACGGTACTCTGTGCTCATGGATGAAAAGAATTGACATTATTAAAATATTCACACCACTCAAAGCAATCTATAGATTCAATGCAATCCCTATCAAAATTCCAATGGCATTTTTTGCAAAATTAGAATAAATTCTAAAATGGGTATGGAACCAGAAAAGACCCCCCAAATAACCAGAACAATCTGGAAAATGAAGAACAAATCCAGAGGTATCACATACTCTGTTTTCAAACTATACTACAAAGCTACAGTAATCAAAACAGCATGGTATAGGTATAAAAACAGACACACAGATCAACAGAGAACCCATAAATCAACCCATGTATATATCGTCATTTACAACAAAAGCATGAATATACAATGAGAAAAAAAGTCTCTTCAATACACGGTACTGGGAAAACTGGACAACTACATACAAAAGAATGAAACTGAACCACTATCTTATACCATATCCAAAAATTAACCCCATAACCAACTCTTAAACCATATCCAAAACTGGGGCACGGACTTGAATGTAGGACCTGGAACCATAAAACTCCTAGAAGAAAACAGACAGTAGGCTCCCTGACATCAGTCTTAGCAATTTTTTTTTTTGGATCTCACTTCAAAAGCAAGAGAAACAAAAACAAAACACTATATCAAAGTAAAAAAGCTTCTCCACAGCAAAGAAAACCATCAATAAACAAAAGCCACCTACTGTAAGGGAGGAGATATTTGCAAATCATATATCCGATAAGGGGTCACTATCCAAAAATACATGAAGAACTCAATAATTAACAACAGCAAAAACCCAAACAATCTAATTTAAAAATTGTCAGAGGACCTGAACATTTCCCCAAAGAAAACATACAGATAGTCAAAGGGCACATGAAAAAATGCTCAACATTACTCATCATCAAATCACAACCACAATGAGATGTCACTTCATACCTGTCAGAATGACTAGAATCAAAAAGAAAAAAAATAACAAGTGGTGATGAGGATGTGCATGAAAGAGAACTCTTGTGCACTACTGGTGGAAACGTAAACAGGTACAGCCACTGTGGAAAACAGTTTTGAGGTTCTTAAAATATTAAAAATAGAGTTACCATATGATCCAGCAATTCTGCTACTGGGTATCTATATGAAGAAAACAAAAACATAATTTGAAAAGACACATGCATCCCTATGTTCACTGCAGCATTAGGTACAACAGCCAAGATATGGAAACAACCCAAGTATTCATTGATAGATAAATAGATAAAGAAGATGTGGTATCTGTATATACATAATAGAATACTACTCAGCCACAGAAACAAATGAAATCCTGCCATTTATGACAACATGGATAAACTCTGAATGTATTATGCTAACTGTAAAAGTCAGACAAAGAAAAGACAAATACTACATGATTTCATTTATACATGGAATCTAAAAAACAAATATACAAGGAGTGCCTGGGTGGCTCACTAGGTGGAGTGTCAGACTTCAGCTTAGGTCATGATCTGGAGGTTTGTGAGTTGAAGCCCCACATTGAGCTCTGTACTCACAGCAGAGAGGCTGGAGCCTGCTTCGGATTCTGTGTATCCTTCTCTTTCTGCCCCTCCCCTACTTGCATCTTCTTTCTCCCGCTCAAAAAAAAAAAAAATTAAAAAATTTGTAAATAAAAAACAAACACACACAAAAAAATAAAACTAAATCAAAACTTTGTCACATCAGGAGACACATGTCGGCCTTTTCCTACTTTTCATGATGCTAAGATTGATCAGATGACTAAAATGGTAACAGCCTGAGTACTCCATCAACCTGTCATCTAAAACTTTCAACTACTGATGATCATCCTCTGAATCAATTATCTCATGAGAGGCTGCAAGTGGTGATATTCAAATTCCATCAGTCCAAGCACACGTATTAGCTGGATTCTTCCCTCTTCTCAAATAAACCCATTTTTGTATTCTAAACTACCATTTGGACAGGAAAAGCAGGTAACTACTTCTTTCTTTTTACTTTCAATTTTCAGTGGAAAGAGCTGGTGTCTTAGTTACTACCAATAAAGCTTATTTCTAACTAAATAAGAATCAAAATAAAATCTTCTTTTTATAAAACACTTACACAAAAGGAAAAAGAAGAGATCTTAAAGAGTGCTAACCAGTGACTTCAGATCTATCCAGGGATAAAAAAGTCTAAAGATCTAGGACAACCACAAGACTCTCAGAGGAAAAGGAGTATCTGGTCAAATTCTTGCTCCTTTGATAAATCAACAGAAAGATGTGTCCAGAGCCTTGGTGTCTTTGCAAAATGACTACCTTTATTCCAAACATGACTTAAAGGCAAACCTCAAACTGAGATCTGACTTTTTCAGAAGCTATATTTAAATAGGCTGGCTAAATCAAAATGTCCTGTGAATACCATAAATTAATTGGAATACCCTGAGATACAGTGAATCTGGCATGTGCCCCACCACAACAGTCCCAGCTGCTCAGCTGGCCACAATTTCTGCATCCTCATCTTCCCCGCTACATGTATAAGGGCACTGACTCCAAAGACAATTAGACATTGAACTATGTCCCAGTAAGACAATATCATGTGTTCAAGTTCTTGAGAATCTGAGCCGAAAATAAGAAAACACTTGGGCTGTTTATAGTGGATAGAAAGAAAAGGCATGGACTGTGCTTGAGCCATCCTAATGGCAGAGGAAAGAAGTAAAGATCCTGAACTCTTGCTATTAGCTCTTGAGCCATCATGAATCCAGAGCTCCCTTCCTGCTCTGGTCTCCAGGTCTGTCTTATGATAGCTCCTGATGTCCTTATTACTCTGTTCTCCTTATTGTTCCACAGATGTCTGTCTGTTTGCAAGGGTTGCCATAACAAAGTACCACAGACTGGGTGGCTTATAAAACAAATTTATTTTGTCATGGTTCTAGAGTTAAGAAATCTGAGATCAAGATGTCAGCAGAGTTGGATCTTCCTAAAAGACAAGAGGAAAGGATCTATTCCAAGCCTCCTTGTAGACAGCCATATTCTCTCTTTGTATGTGTCTGTGTCCAAATTTGCTCTTTATATAAGGACACCAGTCATACTGGATTATGGCCACCCTAGTGATCTCATTTTTACCTTAATTTACTTCCTTAAAGACACCATCTCCAATGGTCACATTCTGAGGTACTAGGAGACAGGACTTCAATGTGTGAATTTTGGGAGATCCACATATCAGCCAATAACAATAGGTTTAAAGTAATCCCTTCTTGGCCTAAGCTAGTTTAAGGGAGTTTTGTTGGTTGTAACTGAATAAACCTTACCAAAATAGCTATATTTTCTGATCTTATTCATGTGTTTCTTTCAAACCTCGCAGTAGTTTGAGCTATAAGAGAGCAATAACATGCTTTAATAGTTCCCTGAATTCTACCTCCACAGACCTAGTACCCTACAAACAATTGGTACCAAAAACAAAAGGGCACAGAGAATTCTAATTCTGTACAAGATGCTATGCCCTCCCACTCAGATCACGTTTCAAGAACTAAAGTATTCATTCTCCTAGCAACCAGGAAGGTTGGCTGCTGCTAATTCACAGCTAAGTCCTATCCCAAGAAATGCCAAGAGTCACTTCACCTGAGGTAATTCCCTTTCCTTGCCATCAGTCTACATCCAATCATGCAGAAGTCCAAAGGCCCAGACTTCTTGTCTCCATTCAAGACACCTCTGAAGAGCCACCCCAGCTCCAGAGCAATTTGTGGGATTAGCTGTGGCCTGTATGCAAATGAATTACAATTCAACTCTCCCTCTGACCAATCCTGCTTCATCCTCCAACCCCCACAGGTGTTGATCCTGAGACCACTCTCCAATAAACTTCTGGCACACAAATCTCTTAGTCTATTTCCCAGAAAATATGACTTACCCTATATTCTATGGCTAACACTGTGACAAAGATTAAAAAAATTAGGAAAAATTAGCCAGATACTGGGTTAATTTCCTCTTTCCCATTTTTTTTGCTTTTAAAGAATCATGTCCACCTTCTTTTTCCTTGCTAGAGAAAGTGTCCTGTTCCTTCCAATCCCCTTCAACCTGCCCTGTGCAGATAGCTACTACATCCTCCCCCACTCTTATCCTCCAATCCACAAGTAGGAACCACAGACTTCCTGCTCCCCTTCGACAGCAGGAGGCGCCTCAGGCCCCAGCTCCTCCCCCTGGGTCCTGTGGCTGCATTTCTCTTCAGTGCCTGGCACAGGGTGAAAACCAAAGGAAAGGAGGGGGTAAACCAGAGGAATTCATCTAGGAGGCGAAGCTGGTCCTGACCCCCTTCCCTGGCTGCTCCCCAGCTGGCCTCCCCTTGGGAGCCTGAGTTCAGGAAACAAGTTCTATTCTGAGGACCAAGACATGGGCCCTGCTGGCAGTGCCTTCCTACTGTCTCTTCCACTGGGTGAGCCTCTGGGGGGTGGGGGGTGGCATGGGAGGGGAGAGGCAGAAGTTTTTGGCTCAACAAGTTATCATATAGAATAATATGTCACTTCACCCATGGGATATTATTTATGAACAGTATGTCTTGAGAAAGTCCTGAGGGGATACTAAATGCGAAGCAGCAAAGAAAATAAAGATCCCTGCCCTCATGGGGCTTATAATCAATGCACTTATTAAATAATATGTAATGTAAATCTTAAGTATGTAAATTTTAAAGGTTAGACAGTCATAAATGTTATGAAAGGAAAGGGGCATCAGGAGTGCAGAGGCAGGAGGTGTGCTGTAATTTTAAATAGGGCAAGTCAAGGAAGTTTCACTAAGCAGCCATTTGAGTGACTTAGCTACAAGGCTAGGAAAAGAGCGTTTTAAGCAGAGGGAAATGAAAGTATAAACACAGGTCAATGATTTCAGGCTTAAGCTTGTTAACTTCTAATTCTGGCCCACAGTGACTTAAAAGCAGGGTAGGCCAGGGAACCTGGGTGGTTCACTTGGTTATGTGTCCAACTCTTGATTTCAGCTCAGGTCATGACCTCACGGTGAGATAGAGCCCCATGTTGGGCTGTGTTGGGCATTAAGTCTGCTTGAGAACCCCCCCCCCCCGCTCTCTCTCTCTCTTTCAAATAAATAAATAAATAAATAAATAAAAATAAATAAATAAATAAATAAAAGCAAGGTATGCTGAGAGCAGCAAAAAGATAACAAATACTGCAAAATGCCAATTCAGTTAAGGAAAACAGTTCATAAACCTCAAAAGCACCTGAAGGCATCATTGTGTTTACAACCTAATATACTTGTTATTCCTGATGACAACCTTTAATCTTCAAGTTAAATTATGTTCCATGTACACTGCTAAAAAGCAGGTAAGTGTGCAATTTTCAAGATTCCCACTAATAGGTAGACATTTATAAAAATTTGGCCTTTAACACAAATCTGAAAAATACTTCAGTATTCCACATACTTAAATATGTGGAAAGCCTCTCCTTTCAGTGAATTGAGACATAGGATACATTATTATATGTTAATGATATGGTATCTTTCTTAGGGTCTTGCCCATGCTCTTCTCCCAAAAAGAAAGATCTACAGTCAGGTGAGTGGTCTCTAGCTGGGAGTTTGAAACTGGGACAGGATGGAGGATGCAGGCTAGGGAAGACTTGGGTCCCAGGAATGGATGGGAGTTTGAGGATGATAAGAAGATGAGGCCCAGAGGAACAAGACACCCAGTGTGCCACATTTTCCTCTCTCTTCTTTTTCTAGTGTGTGGACGACCTGTATATTCAGGTCTTGTTGTGGGTGGCCATGATGCTGTTCCAGGGCCCTGGCCTTGGCAAGTCAGCGTGCACCTGCACCAGGCCCATGTCTGTGGAGGGTCTCTCATCAGTGACAGGTGGATACTGACAGCAGCACACTGGGTAAAAATGTGAGTCCTAGCTGGTGGCCAGCACAAAGATAGGTTCTCGGTAAATACTGTACTTGAATGACTTTATGAATGAACCAACAGACAAACAGAAGTGGTAAGATGGGTAGGAAAAAGGAAATCTGACATCACCTTGGACTAGGGATAGGATATAGAGGCAGAAAAAGAAATGATGGAGAAAGGCACTGTATTAAAAACTTCCCTTTGTGCCAGATCACTTCTTAAACAGCAGCCAGGGAATCTTGTCTTAAGCTTTTCTGGGTCACAAACACAATGTGAGCAGTCTCTCAGCGCTACTACTGTAAAAGAAGCAAGGTGCCATGCAGTGAGTAGCTGCAGGGAGAGACCCGTGTGAAACTAACGACTCCAGCCAACAGCTGGTGAAGACTTAAAGCCTGCCAACATAAGGGCATTTGGAAACAGATCCTCCCGGAGTTGAGCCTTGAGATGATGGCAACCCACCCTGATAAGAGCCTCGTGAGAAATCTTGAGCCAAAGGCACCCAGCTAAGTCACACCTGATTCTTGACCCAGAGAAACTATGAGATAAGTGTTTGTTTTTTTAAGCCTTTAAGTTTTGTGGTAACTTATTATGCAACAGCAGATAGCTTATATATTTTAAAATCAAAACAGCAGGACTTTTCAATAACAATGCTGAAAGCTCAAAGAAAATAGAGCAGTAACTTCAAAATGCTGGGAGAAAATTATTTCCAACCCAGAATTCTACCCATATACAGACTATTGATCAAATGTAGGAAAGAAACAAGATATTTTCAAATATACAAAGCAGCAAAAATGTTACCTCTAAAAAAAAAAGTTGGGGTGCCTGGGTGGCTCAGTCAGCTAAGTGGCCAACTTCAGCTCAGGTCATGATCTCACAGTTCATGGGTTCAAGCCCTGCATCAGGCTCTGTGCTGACAGCTCAGCCTGGAGCCTGCTTTGGATTCTGTCTGTCTCCCTCTCTCTCTGACCCTCCCCTGCTCACACTCTGTGTGTGTGTGTCTCTCTCTCTCTCTCTCAAAAATAAAAAAGCATTGGGGCGCCTGGGTGGCTTAGTCGGTTGAGCGTCCGACTTTTGCTTAGGTCATGATCTTGCAGTTTGTGGGTTCGAGCCCCGCGTCGGGCTCTGTGCTGACAGCCAGCTCAGAGCCTGGAGCCTGTTTCAGTCTGTTACTCCCTCTCTCTCTGACCCTCCCCTGCTCACGTTGTCTCTCTCTCTCTCTCTCTCCTAGAAATAAATAAAACATTTAAAAATAAAAAATAAAAAAAATAAAAAAGCATTAAAAAAATTTAAGTTACTTCTCATGCATACTTTCTCAGAAAGCCCTAGGAGAATGTGCTTCATCAAAATAAAGGAGAAAAAGATAGGAAAACATGGAATCCAGAAAAAAGGGGATACAACACTGAACAGAATCCCTCCCAAAATGGGAGAAAATAGAGGACCAAACTCTAGCCATAAGCATATGAGGAGACCACAAGAGACAGGAGACAACAAAAGAAAGAATATTTAGGAAAAGAGGAAAGGAAAAAAGTGACAAACCAGTCCTGATACAAGCTGGAAGTAGCCTGGTTAATTCTAGGTCTGTTACCATCCTTTCTCATCCTTTCTGTGCTTAGTGCTACACACAGGCAGCTTGTTCTCACCCAGCTATAGCACCTAAGCATGCTCCATTTTTATTCTCCTTCTCTTCCCCTTAGGAGCTGGATTCCTTTCTTACACAGTGTACGGCTGGGATCAATTCACATAGGCCATCCAAACCAAAGTGTGAAGCGTCGTGTGTTCAAAATTATCATCCATCCCCAATTTCAACATCTAACTGCAGACATTGCCTTGTTGAAATTAGTCTCTAGAGTTACCTTTACTTCTTTCATCCTGCCCATTTGCTTGCCCCGCATTACAAAGCGGTTGACACTTCCAAGCTCTTGCTGGGTCACTGGATGGGGAAAGGTTACGGAAAGTGAAGGTGTGAATGGGTAGAGAGGATTGTTTTATCCATCATCCTCTTGTACCCACTTCAGAACATTTGCATTCTAAGCATACCCATTATTATGGCAAATATTTAATAAATCCCAACTTATTGATATTACCTGTAAGTCTTCAGATGTCTTTTTTCAAGTTTACTTTATTTACTCTTATATCCTGCCTAGAATCTAGCTATAGCTGCAAGAACAGATGCTAACAATTTGAACACATAATTACCTCTTTAAAACAAATGTTAACAAACCTGATCTAAGTTTAGAGAGTCTACTGTTTTTGAAAATCTGTTTTTAAAGTGAAGTGAAGACAAGAAGTGATCTGTGAGCAGACAAATGGGAAACCACGAAGGTTTAGAGCACTTCAAATACTCACATCCTTACTTAATCAAACTATATCAGAATTTCTCTTTATGTAGAACATCAGGAATATCCCATATTAGCATATGAGAAAAACCTTAAAACAAATGGAAATAATTTTGAATTATCCATTGTTCTAGATTATCTTTACCCCCCAAAATTCTACCATTAGTAAATATGATTAGAAAGTGAGGGGCACCTGGGAGGTTCAATTGGTTAAGTGTCCAACTTCAGTTCAGGTCATGATCTGGTTGTTTGTGAGTTGGAGCCCCATACTGGGCTCTACGCTGACATCTCAGAGCCTGGAGGCTGCTTCAGATTCTGCTCTCTCTCTCTCTCTCTCTCTCTGCCCATCCTCCCCTCTCTCAAAAATAAACGTTAAAAATTTTTAAAAAGAAAAGAAAATGATTGTATTCTGCTTTTGGATTCCCATTTAGAGATTTCCACAAATTACAACTCACTGTTGTCCTTGCAACTTTTCCAGATTGCTTTTCCTTTCATTCCTGTCTGTATTTACAGATAGTGATTATTCTTCCACACTCTCCAGGAAGCAGAAATACCAATCTTTGCCTGCCAGGCCTGTGAACAACTCTACAACCCAACTGGTTCCATGCTGCCAGAGTTGGAGCAAGTTATCAAAGAAGATGAGATATGTGCTGGTGATTCAACTATCATGAAGGATAGTTGCAATGTTAGGGTTTGCTCTTGTTTTTTTTTTTTTTTTTTTAATATGAGAACTTAATTTAGATCCATGCTTTCCTGTCTGTAGACAACAGTAGATTGGGAATTAGGAGACAAAGGGTCTGACAATATTCTTGTGTTATGCTAAACAAGTCACTTAACCTTTACCGATTAATTTAATCTCTTCAAGTTTTCGTCTAGACAAATGCTAACCATCGGTTCCTGGGTTTTCACAGACATGTATATTTTTATGAATATATTAAAAGATTGACACAGAATTGCCAACTTTATTTTTTTTCCAAGAAAGAACATTTCACTCTACACTTAACAGATGTCATTCCACTGTCTCCTGATCATAACTGTCCAATGAAAAATCATCCATCATTTATGTCTTCCTCCACTGAATGCGTTGTTGTTCTGCTATGGCTATTTTCAAGATATTTACCTTCATATTTGATTATCAGAAGTTTGTGATGTGCTAGATGTGATTTTCTTTGCATTTATCCTATCTAGGATTCACGGATTTTTTTGTTTGTTTGATTTTTGCTTTTATCAAAACTTGAGAGAATTTTTCATTCACAATTTTCTTCAAATATTTGGCTTCATGTCTCTCTTTTCCTCTTCTGGTTGAAACAGAAAATGTAACACCTTTTGATATTTTTACACAAAGTCTCTGATACTGTTTTATTTTTACCTTTTTCTACTCTTCAAATTGGATACTTTTAAGTTAATCTATATTCAAGATCATTGCGTCTTCTTCCTGTCATCTACATTTTAGTGTTAAGCTCATCCAGTAAAATTTTTCTTTCAGATATTTTATTTTTTAGTCATTTTAGAATGACCATTTGGTTTTATTTCCATTCCCTCTCTCCTCATCTCTCACACACACATTTTTTCTATAGCTCTGCCAAGATGTCCTGTCTGTATATTCATTGTCTTCAAATCAAACAGTAACAGAACATGGATGGTTTCACACCCACTAGGATGACTATATTCAAGGTGGATGACTATAATCAAGAGTTGATGAGGATGTGGATAAATTGGAACCTTCACACACCTACTGGGAATGTAAAATGGAACAGAACATGCTTTGAAATATTGTCCACAGTTCTTCAAAAGGTTAAATATAGAATTACCACATTACCCAGGAATTTTACTCTGGATATACACCCAAGAGAAATAAAAACATATCCACAGAAAAAATTATGCACATAATTATCAAGTTTTATCAAGTAAAAATGATCCAAATCCCCATCAACCGATGACTAAACAAAATATGGTATATCCATATAATGGAGTATTATTCAGCCATAAAAAGGAATAGAGCATTGGTATCTGCTACAACAAGGATGAACCTTGAAAAGAGTATGCTAAGTGAAAGCAGACACAAAAGATCATATATTATATGGTTCCATGTATACAGTATGTCCAGAATATGCAAATCCATAGAGGCAAAAAGCAGATTGCCAGTTGGCCTAAGGCTGAGAGGAAATGAGGGTGACTGTTAATGGGTATGGGGTCTCTTGGGGGTGATGAAAATGTTCTAAAATGGGTTATGGTGATGAGTGAACAACATTGTGAATATACTAAAAAACACTGAATTATATACTTTAAATGGGTGAACTATATAGTATATGAATTATATCACAACAAAGCTGTTAGAAAGAGAGACAGCAAGATTGAGAGACACACCATCAACTGTTATCACTATCATTTTATATAAAAAAAGGATCACTTTAACACTAAAAAAAAAGGCAATAAGAACCTAAGAATGAAATAATGAGAGTTCATTCAAATTAAAGAAATTTACCTTTAGGGGAAAAAAAATTCATCATATTAGTTTCTCTTTTTTATCACAGATGAATATTTTTAACTACTGACATAATTTAGCTAAGGTCTTTGCCAATCTCAAATTCCATGGTTTTAGAATCCACATGATCTTCCCCTAATACAGTAAGAAGTCTAGCTCCCTCCAGAGTTCTCCAGCTACGTAGGCTCCACTGCCCCATTCTAAGGAACTCTCCACATCTTGTGACAACTCTCCTCTTCAAGGTCCCTTTTTCACTATACTCATGACCTTTACCTTTCCTTAGGGTGATTCTGGAGGGCCTCTGTCATGTCATAATAATGGTATATGGATCCAGATAGGATTGGTAAGCTGGGGAACAGGCTGTGCTACATCTCTCCCTGGAGTCTACACCAGCATGATCTACTATCAAAAATGGATTAAGACCACTATCTTAAGAGCTGAGGTCTTGGGTGCCAACAATTTGGACATATCTAACTTCCTGTTCCTTATTGTACTGCTCTCTCTAGCTCTCCTGAGACCCTTTTGTGTCTCTGTGCCTAACATTTTACCAGGAAAGTAGACAGTATAGCTAAAGCCACTGACCAACTATAGGACTAGGGTGGGGATGCATAGAGACTAAGCCCCAGGAGCAGAAACTCACAGGAGAGTCACTGGGAACTCTAGATTACCTCCTTAAAATAATCTGAAATGATTTTGTTTTGGAGGTTCTTTATTCTGGAAGTATGTTTTAGAGCTCAGAATGTGAATAGCTGAGAAATAAGGCTGCCACTTCTGTACATAGCATTCTTTGTCCTTGACTATGAATCTTGCAAGGCATGAAAGATACCTTCTATAAATAATTACAAACACAAAATGGCTACTGGAGAAGCAAGCAAGAAAAAAAGTATCTGTGAAGGCAAAAAGGAAAGTCCTCAAGGAAACATATTAAAAGTTTACTTGGTGCCCCTGGTTTGCATTATGGGCTTCTTATCTTGTCTATATTCCTCACCTCCTCACTATTCTATACTTTGCTTATGTAGCAAGGGGTAGAATAAAAAACGTGCATATGTAATTCAGCTCTGTATTTTTCTGAAATTTTTACTTTTTGAAATACTACCACTACTACCAAAAAAAAATGGATTAATGCCATGATCTCAAGAGCTGAGGTCTTAGGTTGCAATCATCTGCACCTTGTCCAGGTTGTTTAATGTTATTTCAACAATAAAGTACTTCAAATATTTAGTAAGGGCAGAATTATACCCCTTGCTGAACTAGCATGCTTCTTTTTGTTAAACCATCCCATTTCCTTCTTTGCCTAGGCTTTCAGGAGCCCAGAGCTAAGTTATACACTCAATTTCAGTAGTCACCTTTATCCTAGATTATGTAGGAAAATTCCATTCACATTTCTTACTTAAATCATCCTTCATTTCTCATTTGAATGAAGTTTTACTACATCTGTCTCTTTCATGGTAAGTCAACTTTCAAAAACAATTTTTTGGAAAACAAAAAAACCCTCAAAAAACAGTATTTGGAGAAATAACTATCTTTAATAGGAAATGACTGGAAACTTAAAATCTTTGCTAGCCCTTAACTCCATCTCTCTCTGGACCACCACTACAGCTACTAACTGGCATTCCTAGGTCCTTTCCCTCACTTATACCTATGCTCAACTCCGTGTTTTCTCCACAGCCTTCAGACCAGTGTAAAAAATAAATATTTTTAAATACTCCTCTCTCCCCTTTCCCGGCTCATAGCACTTTTCAAAGATAACTCATTGCTCACAGAATAAAGACAAAATCCTTAAGAGGGTTTACAAAAGCTGTGCAGGTTCTAACATAGCCTGCTTCTTCAGCTTCATTCCACCCTGCTCTCCATGCTTTCAGTTCTTCAAATGCTCCTAACCCCGCCTCAGCCCTGGGCTACTGCATCTGCTATTCCTTCTAGCCTACTGCCTTTGCCTAGCTAATTCTTACTGTGCCTCAGATCTCAATTCAACCTTTACTTCCTCAAGGAAGCTGTCCCCATCTCTCCTGACCAGAACAAATCCCTCATTATATATTCTTATAGCATTACGGAGCCCTCCTTCATAGGACTCAACACAGCTATAATTTATTATTCATTTGTGTAACTGTCTACTTAATGTGTGTCTTACCAAAATGTACAAACTTTTATTTTTGCCAACCACTGTATCTTAGTTTCAATAAATATTTGTTGAATAAATGAATGAATAAATAATAATCACCAACCTCTTTGTCTTCCCAGCTGAGAATCTGGGTATTTCGTTTATGGAGATAGCCCAGAACCTGACACAATGTCTTACTTACACAAAGCAGATTTTCAAATATTAAAGAATGAAGGAAAGAATGTTTCAGCTTTGGTTCTCTTTCTCACATCTCTCCAGCCTTAACAAACAAGGAGAGAAAAGAGCATGTAAAACAGGTTAACTGAAAGGTTTCTGGAGGCAAGAATTTTTTTTCTTTTTTTTAAAATTTTTTTTTTAATGTTTTTATTTATTTCTAGGAGAGAGAGAGAGAGACAGTGTGAGCAGGGGAGGGTCAGAGAGAGAGGGAGTCACAGACTGAAACAGGCTCCAGGCTCTGAGCTGGCTGTCAGCACAGAGCCCGACGCGGGGCCCGAACCCACGAACCGCGAGATCATGACCTAAGCGAAAGTCGGACACTTAACCGACTAAGCCACCCAGGCGCCCCTCTGGAGGCAAGAATTTAAACAAGACAACCTCTGGAATGACACAGAGGGCAAAGCAAAATGACAACTGAGAAGAAAGTACAAGGGAAAGAAGGGGCAAGAAAGGGAAACAGGGAAGAATGGACAGACTAAAATCAAAACAAATAGGAAGAGAAGCACACAGGACAACACAGCAAGAGGACATAAAGAAGATCAAGAAAGCCAAAATACTGCTTCCTAATCATTTCTCCAGACTCAGGAAGCACCTGTTCTGCAGCACAGGATCTGGCAAAATTTTTCTCAGGAACCAAGAAGTAAAACTTAAAACTTCTGGAGGGACCAGCCCATCCAAGGGAAAGGAGGGGATAACTGAAAGAAGAGGATCACATGACCTCTATCTGCTGCTTCTCTTTACTTTTATCAGACTTTCCTATATATGACATTATAATAAACATTTACTTTTCATTTGGTAATATTGTCCCTCTCTCCCAGTGGAACATAAACTCCTTGAAGGCAGACTCAGTGTGCTGAATGCACTGCAGTATCCTCAGTGCCTAGAACCCAGTAGGCACTTCATACTGCTGAGAGCATTCTGACATCCTATCTGATGCATATTCAGACTAACCAGGAGAAGGGATCTGTTGGGGGTGGATTCCACTTTAGATAGGGTGGTCAGGGAAATCTAAGAAGGTAACATTACAGAGAGGCCTGCATAAAGGAGAACAGAAACAACAACAACCTGAGAATGAACATTCTGGGTGGAGTGAATAGCAAGTACAAAGGTTTGGAGTTGGAAGTATGCTAGATATGTGTGAGGAAGAACAAAGAGGTCAATGCTGGAACACTGTGAGCAAAGAGGGAAAAAAGTATAAACTGAGACCAGAGAGGGGGCTGAGGGCAGGTCCTACAGAGCCTGGAAGACTCCAAGTTTTATTCTCAGTGCAGTGAGAAGGCACTGGAGGGCTAAGAGCAGGGGAATGATGAAAGAATAGAAAATCCCATACCACAGCTCATGGGAGTACGTAGAAGCCATGAGGGGGCTAGGATGGTAGAGACAGTAGTCAGGTGGTTGCAGCATTAGACAAGAAGCAGAGAGAATAAGAATCTGACAGCAAGGTACTAATGAGCAAAACACTAGAGTGCTACATACAGTACCCTGGAACATCAGTGAAGAAGGTTTGAGTCCCTTAAGGCTGTGTATTGTTTCTTCTCTTCCTATTCCCTATCTGAACTACCCTTTTTTTTTTTTTTAACAGCTCTTCATTGTTATTTTTTTTTTTTTTACAAATAGTTTATTGTCAAATTAGTTTCAACATAACACTCAGTGCTCATCCCCAAAGTGCCCTCCTCCATGCCCATCCCCCTTCCCCCCCACATCCATCAGTCCTCAGTTTTTGTCAGCATTCAAGAGTCTCATGGTTTGCCTCTCTCCTTTTCCCCCACCATTTCCGCCCTTCTTCTCCCCCTTGTTCCTCCATCAAGTTCCTCCTAATCCTCCTATACGTGCAAACATATGATATTTGTCCTTCTCTGCCTGACTTATTTCGCTCAGCATAACACCCTCAAGGTCCATCCATGTTGCGACACATGGCCAGATTTCATTGTTTCTCATTGCCATGTAGTATTCCATGGTATAGATAAACCACATCTTCTTGATCCATTCGTCCGTAGATGGACACTTAGGCTCTTTCCATGTTTTAGCTATTGTGGAGAGTGCTGCTATGAACATTGGGGTACATGTGCTCCTATGCCTCAGCATTTTTGTATCCCTTGGGTAAATTCCTAGCAGTGCTATTGCTGGGTCATAGGGGAGTCTGAACTACCCTTTCAACAGGGCCTCAATAACCACAGTTGAGAAAAGCACAAGCCTGGGTTTCTTACCATCTACTTTAAAATTCATCATTATTACCTAACTTCCTATTATTTTTTTTTCCTTCTTACCCAGACCAATGTTCCTCTAATTATTTCATCCCACCTCTACCTCAAGGCCTTATTTTACTTGTCCTCTATGCCTAGAATACCCTTCTCTCATAAACCTCAATCCACTTATTTCTGTCCATTCATTAAGAGGTGGCAGTAGGACACGTGGGTGGCTTAGTCTGTTAAGCATCTGACTCTGGATTTCAGCTCAGGTCATTATCTCATGGTTCAGGATATCAAGCCCCATGTGGGGCTCTGTGCTGGCAGTGTGAAGCCTGCTTGAAATTCCCTCTCTCCCTCTCTCTGCCCGTCCCCTGCTCATGTACTCTCTCTCTAAAAATAAACATTAAAAAAAATAAGGAGGTAGTGAATATCTAAAAAATACAGACTGAAAGGACCCTAAGAAGTGATTTTAAATGACTTTAAATCTTTTAACAGGAAATGGTAGAACTATATGGTCTGTGAATTATATCTCAATAAAGCTATTTTAAAAAAACGGACAGGGAGAGGTGCTTGGATGGCTCAGTCGGTTAAGTATCTGACTTCAGCTCAGGTCATGATTTCATGGTTCATGAGTTAGAGCCCCCCATCAGGTTCTGTGCTGACAGCTCCGAGCCTGGAGCCTGCTTCAGATTCTCTGTGTGTGTCTCCTGCCCCTCACCTGCTAGCTCTGTCTCTCAAAAAAATGAATAAACATTAAAAAAAAATTTTTTTAATAGGCAAGGAAATTTTGTCCTGTTTAAATTAAACAGAAATGACAAGCTTATAAATGTATTTAGGACTCTTTACAATCTTGTAAACAATTCTTATGACTGTATTTCAAAAAAAGCTCAAACTAACTACATACATTTTCTGTTTCAAAGGCTTTTAAAACACAGGGTGCCTAGGTGGCTCAGTTGGTTAAGCATCCAACTCTTGATTTCAGCTCAGGTCACGATCTTACGGTTCATAGATTCCTTTCATCAGGCTCTGTGCTGACAGTGTGGCTCCTGCTTGGGATTCTCTCT